GATATGAACAGTTCTTCGATTTTTGGTACTGATTTATTTTCTCATTGTTTTACAAGACAAAAAAATTGATACGAATCGTTCGTTTATCCGAGTTAATTTGTTGAATAAGATTAGAGAGGTAAGTACCTGAAAATGGAAACAAATTGTCATTGCACTTGGACAATTTTTGACACTGATTTATGGTATTAATCGACATTCGATTTTTGGTACTGATTTACTCTTTCACTTCTCAATAAGAAAAAAAATTCATACGAAACGTTCATTTATCCGCGTTAATTTGATGAATAAATTAAATATTGATCGGTCTTCAATTTTCGGTACTGACTATTCTTTAATTTCTTTATAACAGAATAAAAATTGAATACGAATCGTTCTTTTATCCGACTCAATTTGTTGAGTAAATTAGTGGGGTAAGTACCTGCAAGATGAAAACAACTTGTCATTGCACTTAGACAATTTTTTTAACGCTATTTTATAGTATTAATCAATATCCGGTTTTCGATACTGATTTACTCTTTCACTTCGATTTCTCTATAAAAGAAAAAAAGATTGATACAAATTGTTCATTTATCCGCATTAATTTGATGAAAAAATTAGATATTGAACGGTCTTTGATTTTTGGTATTGATTTATTTTCTCATTGTTTTACAAGACAAAAAAAATTGATACGAATCGTTCGTTTATCCGAGTTAATTTGTTGAATGAGATTAGAGAGGTAAGTACCTGAAAAATGAGAACAAATTGTCATTGCACTTGGACAATTTTTTGACACTGATTTATGGTATTAATCGACATTCGATTTTTGGTACTTGATTTACTGATTTATCTTTCACTTCTCAATAAGAAAAAAAAATTCATACGAAACGTTCATTTATCCGCGTTAATTTGATGAATAAATTAAATATTGATCGGTCTTCAATTTTCGGTACTGACTGATTCTTTAATTTCTTTATAACAGAATAAAAATTGAATACGAATCGTTCTTTTATCCGACTCAATTTGTTGAGTAAATTAGTGAGGTAAGTACCTGCAAGATGAAAACAACTTGTCATTGCACTTAGACAATTTTTTAACGCTGATTTATAGTATTAATCAATATCCGGTTTTCGATACTGATTTACTCTTTCACTTCGATTTCTCTATAAAAGAAAAAAAGATTGATACAAATTGTTCATTTATCCGCATTAATTTGATGAAAAAATTAGATATTGAACGGTCTTTGATTTTTGGTATTGATTTATTTTCTCATTGTTTTACAAGACAAAAAAAATTGATACGAATCGTTCGTTTATCCGAGTTAATTTGTTGAATGAGATTAGAGAGGTAAGTACCTGAAAAATGAGAACAAATTGTCATTGCACTTGGACAATTTTCTGACACTGATTTATGGTATTAATCGGTATTCGATTTTCGATACTGATTTACTCTTTCATTGCTCTATAAGAAAAGGAAAAATTGATACGAATCGTTCATTTATCCGCGTTAATTTTTTTTTTTATTATATATAGTGGTATTATTATATAAGTGGTCCATGGGACGATTAAATATTCGAATACATGTTGCCGTATCAAAGTCTCCTCTATAATAAACGATTTGACACGTCTGGGGACGCATGATGTATCGTTGCCCGCATCCCATTCCCTTCGTCCTACTTTTCTGTATAAAATGTCAAATTGAAACGTATTAAAAAGTATTGACATTTTGAATATGTCTGATTTCTGAATCTTTTTGATCCGAAGAAAAGGATTGAAAAGTATTAGTTTCCATTAAATTTTACTGCGCTAAATGCGAGACGGTCTCTTTCACCCTAGTGCCTCATCAGGGAAATTTCTCTGGTACGCTAAATCCCGTAAGGTCATCAGTCTTTGTAATATATCTCGTCGGTGCATAAGGTTTATATTACCTGTACATACATATTTTGAAACATTTTCTTTGGATATTATATCAAACGGATTTTGCGTGTCACGTAATATCCTTCGGACTACACGGACATTATTATTTTGACCAATTTGATTTCTTTGGTATTCATTGAATTATCCAGAACGCGCAACTGCCATGTTGAACGACTCAATTGTCGTGTGAAATGTTTCGATTTTCACAAATTCATATAAAATTTTTCATTTTTCACTGATTCACAGAAGTCTTTCACTTTTTATTAGTTCACGTTAGGGAAAAGATTCATGATCGCTGCCCTGAGCAACTGCAACGCTTTTCGAATCATCTATGTCGGCGCGCTTTTACTCCTCAGATTTCTGTCATTAATAACTCGATAATTATTGCGAATCTCGCAAAATGATATGGGACTTTTATGTTTGTCTCAACCCAATCTACCCTCACACTTCGGGTTGGCAGCTAATTACCGGACACTTCGTATGATCTTCATGATATTAATCATACACAATGTCAATTTTTTTTTTGCACATGTTAACATGTTAATTCATGTTATAAACGCGTAACAATGTGCGAGACCGTGCTTGTCAAATATGCTATTATGGTTGTAGCACGGACATAAACCGCCTAAAAATGGATGTAGCACGAACTGCCACCACATACAGGTTTTACTGCCGAAACCTGAATGTGGATGTAGCCTCGTAGTTCCCTTCTCAAAATGGATGCAGATGGCGGCCTTTCCCAGTGCGAAAAATCGGTGTCGTCGAAAACACCGTGTTGGCCGCTCTCACGTTCCTCTCTGGTAACAGATACGGAATAATGGAAAAGATATCGGAAACTATCAAGATAATAACTAACACTAAGTTTTATTTAAATTATATTTGAAAAAGAAAAGCCTTCGTATTCTCTTTATGTTGACGCTTTGTGACCTTTCTCTTGTCGTTTCACGTAATTAAAAAAATAAATCTTGGTCAATACGAAAATTTACTTATGACTGACAGTCTTTAGTATTACCTCGTCGATGATCAAACTAATGCAACTTCAAAAAGTTCACCGTGTGGATTCAAATACAATGAGTACAATCCACCAGCGATAAAAATACGAATCGAATGAAAAATTTGTACCGTGTTTCATATTGCGTCTTATTTTCGAACGTACCAAAGGTTGAATTGATTACACGTGCTATTGCGCGTATTAGGTTGGGTTATATCTCGCTCACCGCATACACTGCCAATTTATATCACTTAACTATTATTTAATAATTTGGAGAAAATGAGTTGGAAGAAACCTGTTATTTATATTTCTGCTGCGACAACTGTTGTCGGCGGATCTTGTCTAATAAAGTAATAATGATTTCTGATCTTTTCTAATTTCGACGTACTGTTTATGTTTTACCGGCATACTATATATATTTTTCTAATTATTATTTTATTTTTCTGTCGCGAATGTTGAAAGTAACCATTGAAATTTCAGGGATTATTTGGGAGGACCAATGTATAATCAAGAAGAGAAGTTGGATGATAAGATTGTCATTATAACTGGAGCAAATACTGGTATTGGATTTGATACAGCTCGGGAGATGGCCAAGCGTAATGCAAAAGTTATTATGGCATGCAGAGATATGAAGAAATGTGAGGTGGTGTGTATATCTAGTAATTAATATCTATCCAGCTTACAAATCAGTCTATTTTAGTTTCAGAATATGTCATGAATATATAACTTTCTTCTTTTATATAATTATCATTATAATTTGCTGTTTCGTGACAACTTCGTATAGAATGATTTCATTTTCATATAGTCACGTCGGAACATTGTACTTGATACAAGGAACAAGTATGTTTATTGTAGGAGATGTGATTTATCATCTCAAGAAAGTATCACAAAATTTGTTGAACGATTTCGGAAAGGTAAATGTTATCTATAAACACATTCCAGGTTACATATACAATATTTTTTCTTTAGATATTTATATTTAATATTAGTTTGTAATAATATTCTATATATATGTATATTATATGTATATATATGTATATTATAGAACATGACAAACTTCATATACTTATTAACAATGCTGGTGTAATGAGATGTCCCAAAAGTTATACCAAGGAAGGTATTGAGATGCAACTTGGGGTCAATCATATGGGACACTTTTTACTTACAAATTTACTCTTGGATGTTCTGAAAAAATCTGCACCATCTAGAATTGTAAATTTGTCAAGTGCTGCTCATTATGCAGGCCAGATAAATATGAAGGACTTAAATAGTGATCTTGCATATGAACCTAACAAAGCTTATTCACAGAGTAAACTAGCCAATGTTCTTTTTACTAAGGAGTTAGCAAACAAATTGGAAGGTAATTGAATGAGAATCACATATTTTTTATTTATCTTTTTATTGTTCTCTTATATGTTTTTATGCCAACTTACTGTAACTACTAAAATATTTTTCATTTTCCAATGCTATTTTCAGGAACTGGTGTTAATGTGTACGCTGTCCATCCTGGTATAGTTGATACGGAAATAATTCGACATATGTCTGTATTGAACAATTTCTTTACACGATACTTGTTAAAACCTTTTGCTTGGCCGTTTATCAAAGCACCTGTACAAGCGGCACAACTCATTTTATATACAGCATTAGACCCTAGCATTGCAGATGCTTCTGGCAGTTATATCGAGTTAGTATTTAGCAAATTTTACAAGCAGACACAAGTTACAAACATAATATTAACTTTGTCATTTTATTTATAATAGCAACTTCAAAATCAAAGAAGCGTCGAAGAATGGCAGGGATAAAGATCTGGCGAAATGGTTATGGAAAGTCAGTGAGTCATGGACAAAATTGAATGTTACATAATTATGTGAATATATAGTACAGGCACATGCACCTGTATTAAATGTAGTTTATTTTTAAATATAATGTATATAATTAAATTTTTTCGACACTTCAATTTCATTTCTCAAATTTATCACTTCTTTCACAAAATAAATATTTAGATAACTAATTTATCTGCTGACAATGATGTGTAGAATGTAAAATAACATGCTTATTTCATAATCATTCTTCATGATTAATTAAAGATTTGCGCACATAAGGTTTTATCAATATAAGAGACTTGGTATATAATTTTTCTGCCATTGTATCGTCGACAGCATTGACCGACGGTGTATACATTTGGCAGTCACTGGATATAAATAATGAAAAATTAATTACTTTCCTTCATTGTATCTTTGATAACACGTATAAATTGTTACCTGAAATATTTTCCAGAATGCTTCTCTAATTCTCTGCTCACGGCCACGTAAACGGCAGTTTGGGCACCTTGAACGGCATTTTTCAGAAATAACCACATCCACGGTTGCATTATCAGCTTGATCAGAAATGTCGAATTTAACGGCGAATAACGCATGTGCCTTGTGCCTCTCACAATGCCAGGGTTTACGGTATTAATTGCGACATCCGTATCTGCATTGAAATCAATTAATTATTATCTCGTTTTATCATAATCGTTTTTAGCGTCACCTGTCAATAATTTGCTCATATGCCTCGCCATCAAAATTAACGCCAGTTTGCTCTGCCCGAAAGCTTCCCTCGCAGTAAAGTCCTTTTCTAAATTCAAATCTTCCAGGTGTATAGCACTGATTATGTGCGCTTGTGAAGAAACGTTTATTATCTTGCTTTGTCCAGCTGCGCATAATTTCGGTAGAAGCAATTGTGTAAGTAAGAAATGACCTGACAAAAGAAAAAAATTATATAGTATCTGAAGATATTCCTTATTCGTTTCACGAGAAGTTTCAAACTTATTATTAATACATCACACATAAATTTGATATATTGGTATTAATTTACAATTAACAGATCAGTAATTTAAAATATTAATATTATCATCATGTACATATTTACAGATGTTAAATGTAAATGTAAATATTTCACGTAACTCACCTAGATAATTCGTTACAAAATGCATTTCGAATCCTTCCGCAGTTTTTTCAAACGGATGAAAAACTATTCCAGCATTGTTTACCAGTATGTCTACTTTCCTCGTTTCTATGTAAAACAGTAATGTCAAGTATTGCATCGGTGAAGGACATTAATGTTTAAATACACTTAAACACCTCTCTTTTATTCTTATACCCAACTGCTCGACAAAGCTCTGCACATTCTTCAACGAGGAAAGATCGATCGCCTTGACTTCCGCATCTCGTCCAGATATATCTCGAATTTGACGTGCCACTTTTTCTCCGGCTGCCACATCTTTGACGGCTAAGATGATATGACCGCCTCTGCGAGCCAATTCTAAGGCAATCTCTTTACCAATTCCACTAGAAGCGCCTGTGATAATTACAACCGCATCATCGATGCGATCATCACTCGGACATATAGCACCGCCCATGTACATCCTAAAATTATATATTATTGAAATGTTCAATTCGGTCCTCAGTATATTTTTAAGTTGCGTTCCTATCCTATTTTTGTCAAATTCATTTTTTGAATCGATATATAAAAGATCTTGTTACTATTTCGTTACCATTTCATGATCGTCAACAAATTTACGTACCTTATCAGAACGATTAATCCAACGCAAAAACTGATTATACAAGGCCAATGAGAATCGGACAAGGGATTCAGCTTATGTAAAACACCATACAGCTCTCCGTACGAATCCATTTTTTATATTTTTTAAATTGAAATAAAGTTTCTACCGACAGCGAGTAAATAGTATGTTGCGGTCACTGTACTGCTTATACTAACGTAATATTAAACGAGAGCGAACGCTGAAATAGATTCGTGGGGAAGTGATGCGTTTAATAGACCTTGATTACTTTTGATTTTTAAAGAGACCGGACGTTGTTCTAAACGGTACTCTGCGCATAAATAATCTCATCAAAACGTCTTGCATCTATAACAGAGATGATATAATTATTATAATTGTTTTTATTCATAAAATGCATTAGTCATTAGAAATTAAAGAATTATTTCTTTCAATCATGAAAAATATGCAAAATTTAACACACTAATTAATTTAACACACTGACTAATTTCGGAAAAAATTATTAATTATTAAAATTATTATTAAAAATTATTAAAATTATTAAAATCATTAATTAATGTCTGGGTAATTCGTTGAATGAATGTTGCGAATTTTTGAAATATTATTTAATTCCGTCTATATTATATTATATTTTGTCTGTACATATATCTCGAAAAATAATCAAATTTTCGCAGACATATAAGAAATTTAAGAAAAATTAATGGAATATAATACATTTTTTTTTATATCGCGCGCATCGATTTTTAGTTTTGAAGTCACCGCTACGAGCCGGCACCATATTTATATTTATAGTCGTGATACGATTCATTGGTCTGTTCTTTTTAGATGCACTACTGAACTAGTGCAATAAGTTAAAGTGAGAAAAAATATAGTTGTCTCATTCTAACTTATTGCACTAGTTTCGCAGTGCAGCTAAAAAGAACAAACATATGTCTCAGTGAAGCAACAGAACAAGATTCGTGGTCTGTTCTTTTCTTCTGCACCGCTGCACTGGTGCAATAAGTTAAAATGAGACAAATATATACTTGTCTCACTTGAACTTATTGAACTTAGTGCAGCGGTGCAGAAGAAAAAAACAGACCTTCTAACTCCGTGATCGTACCCTTAAGCCAGCGGCACACGGTGCTTGTTTTCGTGCTGGATTGCTTGCTGGATGAAAATACTGCGTTTTAATTGGTGCATTTCCATCCATCTTCGGAAATGTACCAATCAGAATGTAGTATTTTCATTCAGCAAGCAATCCAGCACGAAAACCGTGTGCCGCTGGCTTTAAAGAGGAAACAAAGTGCAGCACTAGTTCAACTGAAAAGAACAGACCTTAGCTCTGTATACTGTATTCTGTTAAACACAATTGAACGAAGTCTTGTTCGCTTCCGTGGCGGTTGGATGTGGTTTCTGTAACTACGCATATTTTTTGATCGTGGGGACTGCATACGCATTGTCTCTGTTTTTCTTTTATCTTCATAATCGTTGACTGGCGTAGGGGATAGAGTGTAACAGCTCTGCCCAGAGCCATTTATTGAACCAGAATCAGACCTTAGCTCTGTATACTGTATTCTGCTAAACACAATTGAATGACCATGTGGGTTGGTTGAATAAGAATTTATAGAAATTTTTATTCAATTGTATGAACATCATGTCGTTTTTTATAAGAAATAACCGAGGAAGTGGAAAAGAGAGAGTAAAGCGCAAAGTAAGCTCTAATTATTTTTATTCTTAAAACAAAATATAGTGTTCTTCCCTGTCTATAATATAGGTTAGATATAAGTCCATGCAAAGTTGTATGATATGTTATATGATGTTTGTCTCATTGTTGATACCTTTAAAAATAAATATATCTTAGATTGAATAGTAAGATACATATTTAATATTGTCAAATATTTTAATATATTTAATAGTTCAATGGTACTCAGTCTACATCAAAACAACCGAAGAAAATTGCAAAGAAATCCATACCTGATAATGAAAGTATCGCAAGTACAGATGAAGAATTTGCAGAAGAAAATTTCAAGTAAACATATGTTTCTAACTAAAAATTAAATATATTAGAAGGAGTTAGTGATATTTAGTGAAAGAAATAAATTTATTTTACAGACATAAAACTGATAGGTTTGAAAGTGAGAATGAGGAAGAAGAGGAAGAAACTGCTCAAGAGAAACGTGTAAGACTTGCAAAGAAGTATATAAAAGAAATTGAAGAAGAAGGTAGGTGGAATATTTTCAAGTTTTACTTACATTATTTTGAGAAGAATAATATATATTAAAATTATTTCTGATATTACAGAAAAAGATAGAGCAGAATTTGAAGAAGGTGCAGTTGCACGGAGACTACGTGAAGAATATTTAGAGGAAAAAGGTCGATTGAGAAAAACTGTAGCAATAAATTATGTTGGCCACAAGGATTTTATATCATTAAGATGTAAAGAGCATAAAAATTCCATTACTTCTATATGTCTCTCAACTGATGGAAGTTTATTATATTCTGGAGCTAAAGATGGGAGTATAGTTAAATGTAAGTATATTTAGGAGGATGAATTTTTATTTAGGAGAATTAAACAAGTGATAAAACAGATATCTAAAACAGTTATTGTTGAATTATAGAAATAAATTATATATGTGTTTGTATTTTTGAAATCATTTCATAATCAATGCTGTTTATTTTAGGGTCATTAAAGACAAATTCTAAATTAATAGCTCTTAAAGGTAGAAAGGTGAAAACAGAAGTTACTTTGAGCCGTTACATACAGTGTTTAGCAATTAGCACAGATGGAAAGTTTCTGGTAAGATCAAGTAAATGTTACCTTTTACTTCACGATGTGTGCAGGTTAATATGTAAATCTCTTTTCACTGAAGGTTGTTGGTGATAGGGATTGTAATCATATAAAAGTACTCTGCGGTGACACTCTGAAACATATAAAAGATCTACAAGGTCACAGAGGTTCCGTGTCTGGATTAGTATTCCGCAAAAATACTCACACTTTGTACTCCGCTTCCACCGATCGGAGTATAAAAGTTTGGAATCTGGATGATATGGCTTATGTTGAATCTTTGTAAGTAGTTTTATTCGCAAGTATAATTGTACACGTTGGACATCGTTTTTATCACTGAAATTTCTAAATTCTTCGTCATTAATCATTATATTTTTTGTACAGTTTTGGACATCAAAGTGGCATCACATCCATCGATGCGCTCTCGCGAGAACGTGCTATCACGAGCGGCGGTTTTGACAGTAGTATTAGGATATGGAAAATAGTCGAAGAGTCGCAATTGATATTCAATGGACACAGTAATAATTCTATTGACGAAGTTAAACTCATTAATGAGGAGAATTTCTTCAGCTGTGGCAGCGACGGACAACTCTGCGTTTGGAGCTCTTTGAAGAAGAAACCGTTGTGCACGGTGACGGACGCGCACGGGAAGGATGAAACCAACAACCAATCATTGTGGATTTCAAGCATCGCGACATTATTAAACACAGACTTAGTGGCATCAGGTACGTTATAATATAGAAATGGTATAAATATTCTTAACACTTATTAATATATATTATAAATATTAATATTTACCTCACTGCACTCTTTTTCAACATTGCTTGTAATTTCTAGGTTCTCGAAACGGCAGCATTAAACTGTGGCAGTGCGGTGAAGGATTTAGATCGTTAAATCCGTTGTTCGAAGTTAACGTAGCAGGATTCATAAATGCGCTCGCTTTCACGCCTGATGGAAATTATCTTATCGCTGGTGTCGGTCAAGAACATAAAAATGGTAGATGGTGGCAGATAGCAAACGCGAAAAATTATATTGCCGTTATACCACTGATACATAATGAACAACTTAAATAGTTTTGGATTGTTATGTATATATATTATAGGTTTTATTATATATTGTCTTTTATCTTTCTTAATAAAATGAACATTTAAGGACAAGAAATCAGTGTCTCACTTAGCACCTCTTCTCTCAGCCTCAATTGGAAAGCGAGCAACGACAACGATGGTGTGCTGCGATGTGAATGAAATGAAAGAAATATTGGTCCACAGTACAAGTATTTATTTATTCTGTACAAAAGTTGAGTTATAAAATATTATGTCCCTATTTTAGGTCTTGTTCTTAGTCTTGTATACCATGCCGTCTTGAGTACGTTCGTATAATAACAATATCGCCGTAATGGAACGTTCGCGCTCGTCCGCGAGTCGTTTCCCCTCGCGTTTTCATCGCGAATCGAATTCTCTAGCGAGACATTCTTCGCGTGAAAACAAAGACATACGCGCGTGTACCATCGAGAAGGAAACGATTCCCGGCTTCCGAAGCCCCAGGCGACCGCCAGCGTTCCGCTCGCGCGAATCCTGGGCTCACCGTGTACATATAAACCAAACCGACTTTTTAATCCGCATATTTATTCGAGTCAACAAACAGTACAGCGAGTGTACGCTACTTCTTGTGCATTCTTGCGATAAGTTTTCAAACGAGTGCGATATATAGGCCATCCTTATGGTGGGGTTGGGCGCACACCACCCTTTCGTCATGTCATTACTTTTTTTTTCTTTCTTTTTTCACCGTGGCTTTGCTATCTCTCTGCAGGCAGTGAGGGTGCTGTTCGGTGCGTTTTCTCTCTTCCTCTCCGAGGTCCTCAAGCGACATCATCTTTCGCGGATACGCTCGATCGAATCTCTCCCTGTTTCTTCGCGGGCCGTTATTAATTTACGCGACGCGAACTCGAAAGCTCCCGGCTAGTCGCGTTTATCTCTTTCTATTTCCGCACTTTTTCGGTCTCCTTTCTCTCTCTCTCTCTCTCTCTCTCTCTCTCTCTCTCTCTCTCTCTCTCTCTTTCTTTCTACTTGCAACGACGGTGATTAATCGTTCAACTTTTTTCAGCGGCCTTTGACGCGGCCGGTGTGTGCAAATCTCTCGTTTCTCAGCGGTCGCATGTTTCTCTTCGTATCCTCAGCTGATTACACCAGCTGAAACTTCCCCGGTAAGTTCTCTCGTCTTGGAAACCAGCCAGATCGATCAAAGTATCAACGCTTTTAATCTAATAATAAATGAGTCTCGCGCGTTCGGCAGGACCGCTGAAAAGAAATCTGTCACAACGCTCTTTTTCCATTGCTCGGAGTAGACTTGAGCGATACGTTATTTCGCTTATTTCGTTATTCAGTGGGCCACCGGTATATTCCACCGGACATTTTACAATTTTTTTCTCGCTTGTTTCTTCGTAACATTTTGCCACTGAAATGTGTCGTCTTTTTATTGCACGCTAACCCAATCACGAGAGCGACTTATCCTCTCTCTTTTGTTTCTTTGATGTCCTCGCGCCCAAGTCTGCTCGATACGCATACAGATCAGGTGGTACAGGTCCTGCGACGTCTTCGTGAAACAGAAAAGAAAAAAAGAAAAGGAGAAACGAGATTACGCAATGGTCGCGGAGGAGAGACGCGTCTCTTTGGTGCGTTCGACGCAGTCGTTGCATATTAGATACGAAGAAGAAGTGTCGGAAGAAGATTCGTGCGCGTTTGTCAGCCTAGAAACGATCGCGAACAACGCAAATCCGCGAGTGAGTATAATTGCGGTAGAATTATATGTGCAACGTAACACACAAGAAAACTATAAACTATTACACGTAGAAGCGGACATATGTAGGTGCGGTCGTGTGTACTCTCCCGCTTGTCGTATAAACGACAGCGACGTTTTACAACAAAGTCACGACGTCGAGTGATAACAATATGTGCTCGATCGCATGAGCTATCGCGAGGAGAGCGAGTCTTGCGTCTGAGAGCGCTCGCAAGAAAAGCTCGGAAGCGAGGGTGGTTTTCGCATGTACGCGTATGCGGGATACTCGACGGTCGCTCCTTCTAAGATTCTATCGGGGTGAACTTAAAATTACGCTGACGTTATCACGCGCTTCTCGATCATCGATTATCGACCGCTGTGACGCTCGAATATACATAATACGTCGCGTAGCCTCCGGCGGAAACAAATGCTTTGTCCATGAACAATTCGTTGTATGCAGAACGCAGGCGGTATCGGCGCGCTAAAAAGCATCGCGACGCGTTCGTTATACGCGGCATGCGCCGGACACATTACTGGCCTTTTCTCATCGGGATTTTTTTATCCCTCGCTTCGCCTGTGTGTGTGCTTCTCGCGCAAGCGGATATATGAAACGTCGCGTCAGCAACTGACGGCGACAGTCGCATGTGGCAGTTTATATATTTTCGGGGATTGCTCTGTTGGATCGGACAAACGAGACAGTCAGTCGCACGGTCGAAAAGATACAAGATCGTCGTTTGAGCTGTGGTCAATAATATTTTCTAGCGACAGGTTTAGCAACAATAGCGGATATCTCGAGTTTGAGATATTCTTCGTAGGCGCGAGGATTTCTTAGGCCTTTCCTCATGCTGTACGTACGCGAAGATTTAAAAAGCCCGATTTGAACGTCGGATCAAAACAAGAAGACAGACGTTTTTTTTTTTCATTCAGGAACGATTCCCACGGGTCAATCAGGCCGCTCAACATTTCCGTACACTCCTTTACGTCGGAGTGTCACGCGAGATTTCCGAGATCGATATGTATAGTTAATTACTAACGTAATTGAGTTTTCACGGCAGAAATCGCTCCACCTACACGGCGTAATATCCTCTTTGATGTGTCAACGTGATGTCTCTCTTATCATTCGTGTTACAATAGAATTTACACACCGCGCGAGATATGAACCTCCTTCCGCGCGCAAGAATTTAGGGCAACTCCCGACCAACCTAAAGTCGAAGGACAGACTAGAGAACTTGCATTACCGAAGTGACGAGCCTAGCTGGCACTGTCGCGCACACATTGTTATTCGTCCGCAATTTATACGTCACGAGTGGAGTGGATCGTGCGTATCTCGCGCATCGACCAGCGTCCTTTTTGTACTAACAGCAGGATCGTCAAGCAGGACGGTCCGTCTTCCGGAACGAGCACCGTCAATCCGCCGTGGACCGTGAAAGTAATTTGCGCACGCGAACGTAATCGCGAAGTGTTCACATACGAGTTTCTACCAGGAAAGCAAGTACCGCCAGTTTTTGGGTGACTCTTAGAGCTACGCAATTCCGGATTGCTATTTGGATCGTGTTCGTTACATCAACATCGAAGGCGGCATTCTCTTGAGAAAGGAAACCGAGAGGAACTGAGTGTACAAATTGCCAATTAGCGAGAAAAGATCGATCGAGCGCGATTGACATCGCTCGACGGAAGGACGAAGCTGCGTCGAATTCTCCCTCCCCATCCGGACCGTCCTGATCCTCGCCACTGGACTTCCCCGACAAACAGAGACGATTCGCGCCAAGGTGCTCCGAAACAACAAAATACGATGCGGCTGGTCTCCCCCGGCCCGACGCACGCGAGTCTTCCATACCTCCCTCTCCGTCTCTCTCTCTCTCTCTCTCTCTCTCTCTCTCTCTCTCTCTCTCTCTCTCTCTCTCTCTCTTTCTCTCTCTCTTTCTTTTTACATTACTTTCGTTTGCCATCGATATACTTCGCTATATATCGACATACATATAGAATATACCTACATAAATTGTGTAACACCGACGAGCCTACGCTCACGCGTAGAACCACGTACATCTTGCCCGCCTCCCTATATCTCCCGTCTCTATCGCTCTCACGCATCAGTCGCACGCGTGCGTACACGTCGCGTTTACATGAACAAGTAGTATTTTTTTTTATTTCTTTTAGATACATCGTGTGTGCTTCGCCTTACTTTCGTGCTCTCTCTCTCTCTCTCTCTCTCTCTCTCTCTCTCTCTCTCTCTCTCTCTCTCTCTCTCTCGCCCTCTCTCTTTAACTCTAACTCTCTCACGCGCATTCATTCTCATTCTCTCGCTCTCTATCACTCTCGTTCTCACCTACCACGCGTATATGTGTGTTATATCTCCCGTTGCGTCGCAGCGCAGAGTTTCGCGACAGCTCCCCGTGTGTTTTCTCCGTGTGTGTGACGTAAGTAATGCGTCTCGTGGTCTCGTGAAAAATTCGTTCACGCGTAACTGTCACGCGCTACTGTTACGTGCAATTTCTTTGCCCATTTCCTTCTTTTTTTGTTTCTTTCTGCCCTGCCCTCCTTTCTGTGCCCTCCGTTCGTTCGTTCGTTCTTTCTTTTGCTTGATTATGGTGAGTTTTTTCTGTTTTCCCATTCTCTTTCGTCTTCTGTGGCTGCTTGTTTAAATACTATTTCGCTATAGTGGACTACCGTTATGAACGCTACGCTACTTTGTATTGTATTGTAATGCTTCGTAATGAACGACTGGTACTGGTACTGAATGTGCATACGGGTGAACACACGCAATCTATAAGGTCCCGCTTCAAGGATACCATACGCGGCGCGGCCGCGAAAACGACGAGCGCTCGTTAACGAGTCTTACCCGACTGGCGAGAGACGGGGATTTTAATTAATATTCCGATATCACGCGTGCGCGTCGCGTCTCATTATTCACGGAATGCGTCGCGTCCTCGACATTAAATAATCGCGCCTGAACGAAAGTGTATAGCAGCGAGCGTCGCGAATGGCAGATAATTGCGGTAAGAGCTGCGACCAGACTTGAAATTAATGCAATTGGCGAGTCTCACGATCGGCGACACCGCGATCGGCGTCGGAATGAAATCTAGAGAAAGAGATTAACGCGCGTCGGTCTGTCATTCTTTAGTTCCTCCCTCATCGTCCTTGATTAGTCGCGCCGCGTACAAAAAGTACATTGAAATTAATTTTAACGAACGATCGACGATGAATTTTTCGATGGCAAAGTCTACAGGCGGAAATGTGTCGCGAAGCATTTCCGAGAGCGAGCTTTTACATTCTCGGCGGTTAAACACAGCTCGATAATCCGATTCGACTCCGCGATGTTCTGCACTCGCGTCCGCACGTCTTTTGCTCGTGACGTTCGGCAATCGCTTCGTTAGCGAGAAATAGGAGAAAATATAAGTGCGAAATCGAGAAGAGCCGCTGGTCGCGAGTGTACGTCGGACTGGGCTGTCGTCTGATCGACGGAGCGCCGCGTATACTAGCCGTGACTATCGAGAGTGTATGGCTCCTGTACGCTCCGGTTACAAAATAACATATGTAACGTGAGAAATCACGATCTGGCTAAGTGTTGCTCTGCACTCGAACGCTTCCTGTTTAATTAGTACTCGTGTGTGTCCTCGGTTACGAATAGTTTAATCGTAGTTTACAATTAACCGCTTTGTGTCTCCATCTTGTTAAAAATCTTAGACATCAACATACATTCATTTTTTATTTTTTTTTTTTATAATAAATCGTTATTAGAAACCTATCTCGTATTCGCTATGCATTTAATATAAATTTTATCGTGTTACCGCGTTATTAATCGTTAATTTGTTTATTTACAAGAGACGTACCTCTACGAAATTCACTTTATCCTCGCTCTCTTCTTTTTACGTTAATTGATTAATTCATTAAACCGCGACCGGTGTATGTATGTGTATGTGTGTGTGTGTGTGTGTGTGTGTGTGTGTGTGTGTGTGTGTGTGTGAGCGCGCGCGGTGTGTTCGTGTCATCAGCGCGCGGCGGATATATATATTATCCTCGATCTCGAAAAGAGAGGAACAAGTCTTTCTTTCTTTTTCTCTTCGACGAAAAGAAAAAAACGCGTGAGAATACGCGCGGTGTCTCTCGTGTTTATTCTTTTTTTCCCTTTGCGTTCTTTCTTTCAAAAAACAGAGAGAGAGACAACCGCGCGCGCCTCTCATCGGGCAACTTTTTCCTGTATTTGAATGTACACGCACACGAGTGGGATGATTACGTAATTAAGTGGCGTATTACCGAACGTAATGACAGACGAGGGAAATTCAGGTCTCCTCTCGGGATGGACGTGAAGCGTATCCTGTGTTTTTCTCTCTTTCTGTTTTTCCCTCTACCCATTCTTTTTCCCTGTAATTCTACTTCGGACGTTCGTTTATTTACACGTGTAAATCGTATCGACAAGAGTCCACAGGTCACGTGGACGATATATAGAATCATTATGGCGGCACAGATTTTCGTGTGTGCGCGAGCACGTTATACGTCTCTCTCCCTCTCTATTTACATACGTCTCTGAACAAACAAATCCCACCGGATGCATTCTATCTGTGTGCTGTTAAAAAAATACTTTATTTTTTGTCCCGTCGATAGCAGGACGCCTCACGTCTCACGATGGCGGCGGTGGGTGGATTTGCGGATGTGGGCAACAGAAAAGTAACGAAAGAAACGGGGAAATAAAATAAAAGAAATGAACTTGCAGTGAGTGACCTTGTCTATTTTCTATCGAATAGTTCGAGACTATATTATTGTTATAGTGTATTCGCTTATCGTCCGCGCGAGTGAGTACCATTCACTGTTGAATCCACGCGCGTCTCTGCAGTGTCGCTCTTTTGCACAACGAACGAATGAACGAACAAACGAACGAACAATCAATGCCATCGTGTTCTTCTTCGTCACTCGTTCGAATTCGATTCTCGCGACCGGCGATCTCCCGGCGACACCCTCATAATTCTCGAAGACGCAACTGCTTGCAATTAAATGCAGCGCTACGCGAACGCGTCCGATTGTCAAATGAAATCTGAAATCTCATATTTTTTTCTGTTAATTTTAGACAACCACCCTGATTGAAAAATTTTACCCGATGGCGCCGTCGATGATCGTAGCTATTGAGAGAATTTTTCTCACGATTATCGATGGCATATTAAGAAGATAATGAGAAAACGGTGAAGTGACATTGCAATGATTAATTCTCCGACATATCCTCAATTATTATCAAATATCATTACTCGTGTAATGATTGATTACTGATGTACCTATTGACATGTATCCATTGCCAATGACTTGACGTTGATGTTTCCATCGGGAGAGCTCAACCAAGGAAATCAGCAACAAATAATCGTAACATAAATCGTAACATAAGCGAATTATGAGAAATGCCGTACATCTTGTCAGTAAAACAACTAAAGAGCGTCATTCATTTAAAAGACGCACGCGTGTATTTCGCGCTGAAAGTGGAAAGATACAAAAGATCCACCATCGGGAGACCGAGCTCGTTCGTTCGTTCGTAGTTGCGCAAAGTGGGAATACAAAACGGCAGACAGGTGAATGGACAGACGACAGAACCGACGTGGATAGCGGAGGTGTGCGATACTTAGGCTTACAATACTGCAGTGGCTAACATAATGCAGGCGTTGCTGAATTTCCGCCGTGTTCGCGATTCTCAGCTGATCGTAACCATTCGCTCTCGCGGTTGACGCAAGTGGGGGACGATGAGCCGTAAATAAACTTCCGAAAAACGAGTCGGGCTGAACAACGTTCGCGCGCAAGGACTCCCATTTCGCTATCTAACATTCTGAGTAGGGGATGATCTCACTCGTTTTCTTCCTCTCTCTCTCTCTCTCTCTCTCTCTCTCTCTCTCACACACACACACACACATGCACGCACGCACGTTCACGCATCCTCCTCTCGCCACGGTACTCATTTCCCGCGCACATAATTCATATTTACAATAATTCATTAGTGCAGTCGCGCTAGCAATTTTCCCTTGTGACCGACACAAACGAAAAATTACTGCTTCGTCTTTTATTCTCGCGCGTTGTGTCGTGTCCGCGCGCACGCATGTGTATATGTGCTTGTGGGCGTGTGTATATGAGTGTGTGGATCGCGCGCGCGCGCGTATACACACACGCGGGGATATGTACATCCACGCGATCGGTCTCACGCACGTTCGGCGCACGAATATCGCGCGAACAAATGAATTCCATGAGCGTGCGGCGAATGCGCGACGAAACACGTGTACACGCGTGCGTGCGATGGTACCGCGCGCGCACGTGCCCAAGTCTTTTGCCTGGCAGTCGATAATAAATAAAATAATAAACAAAGAAACGTAGAACAAAGGCGGTAAATCGGCAACATAATGATCGAATAGGTCAATCGATTAGATCTGCTAACAATGATAGATATAGACGATTCATCATTCTCGTCGGACACTCGAAACGAAATCGAGAAACTAGGAAACAACATACGACAAGGGTTGCCTGGGGGGATAGGGAAGGGGAGGGGGATGTTTGTTCGTGCCGCTTCTTTTCACCCCCGGCGGTTCACGTTAATTTGTTCGCTATTAAATTTGATATTTCACTAGCAAATATAGAATATCGAGTGTTTGAATATTCGTAGAGCGTAATAATAGCGGATAATAAATATAATACAGATCTATAGATAGAAGTCTCGGTATGGTACAGCTATTATACACAACTGTCTTACTAACTTTGCGACTCAGTCTCTCTCTCGTTCGTTCGCTCGTTCGCTCGTTCGTTTTCGCCGCTGTCTTTCTTACCCAACGGGGCTCTCGAGTCAATGATACGTACTAGTCTCGCATCAATCTCGTTGACTCGCGACAATAATTAGACCGTCGTAATGGCAGAAATTTGCGTGAGCTCGTAGCTCGTGTCGTACGATCGCGACGCTCTGTTCAACGTCGAGCACGTCAGATCCAACTCGAGCGTCATCGGTGCTCGAATTTTGTCCCTCATGATCGCATGACGCACTCTTATCTTTCACAACATACATTCGTGCTCATACACACACACACACATACACTCTCTCTCTCTCTCTCTCTCTCTCTCTCTCTCTCTCTCTCTCTCTCTCTTTCTCTCGTTTCATATATATATATATAAGATTTACCTAGAAATACGGCACTCTTTCTTAAATCTCCCCGACCCCCTCGTCGTCGAGGCGGGCCAGGAGCCACTTGTACATATTCGTTAGGAATTTACACGCGTGCTAACTATCCTACTCACGATCTCGCACGCGAACTCGAATGATCCTTCGTCCTCGGCGTCCTTCGACTGGGCAGTCGGCCACGCGCATTCTCGATCCGAACAGACGCCGCGCAAGAGACACGATTACTCCCACGACGCGACATTAATCCTTCGGCGACTTATTGCCTTTCGACCGAGTCGCCGTCAGGTCATCGAGAAGCTACTAGCCGCGCGACACGTCGCGTCGCGTCTCGTCGACGACTTCGAGTCCAAGTGTAAGTATCTACGAGTTCTTCCGGCGGTTTGCTCGCGGGAGCGACTTCGCGACTCGGAACTCGCATCCGGATTTTCATAAAGTACCGCGTTGGTCGCGCCGCCGCGAGCCGAAAACGTTGAATGATTTTCAGGTACTCTTTTCTCGAGGCGCGGCGCGCTCGGACGATCACGCGAAGCAAGGAGCGTCCATCCTCGTCGAGCCCGAGCGAGGACCCCTTAACGAAGGACCGTTCGTCGTCATCGATGGCCGAGCCCACGCGATATTCCTCGTCACGAATGACGGATTCGCAACGCTTGGATCAGAGAAACGCGATCTGACGGATTCGCGTAGCCCACTATAGTATATTCGCTTAGACGTCCTCCTTTGTTTCTCTCTCTCTCTCTCTCTCTCTCTCTCGCACACACCGTCTCCTCTCGCTCGAGGATACTTAGCACGCTGCCACGACTCCCGCTCCCGTCTCGTATTCGAATAAATACCTACAGTTAGCGTAATGATAAGAAGGACAACCAATACGACTACCATTTATAGTAGTGATAATAGTGGGCGTGTACTATAAGTAGTGTCTAGTAGTAGCGTATTTCCGTCTTTTTTTCTCCGCTTTCTCTCTTTTTCTCTCTCCTACCATTCTGCCCTCGGCGTCGTCTTCGTCGTCCTACGGACATTCCGTCCTGGGAATCTCCGAGTTCGTTAATAGTTAATATGGCGTGCGCCGCTCGTGTGTCGTGCGTGTCTCTTCTCCTGACGTGTCATTTTAGCTCTCCGATCATCATCCTTTTTCTCTCTCCTTCCTTCGTCTCCTTTCATTCTCCCTCTCTCGCTCTTTTCTATCTTCTCTCCGTCGTCTTCTCTCTTCTCTACTATCTCTCGAGTCGGCGCGACCGTAGATCGTGCGTGTCTTACGATCGAGGGACGGCCGAGGGGCGCGCGTATCGCGCGCCTCTCAAGAAATCAATTAAACGTAGGATAATCACAGAAGAAGGGGTTTTAACGTATGGGATATACGTTCTCGTACGCGGCCGTTGTTGTCGCTTCACCGCAGCAGCTGCAGCAGCAACGCGCTCATCAGCACACTGCCGGTCGCCAGAATCATGCTCTGCACGTACTGGAACTGCGAGCTCGCGCCGTTGTACGTCAGCTCCTCGTTCTTCACCACCTCGTTCGGATGGTCTGAGTACTCCTCTGTGGAAGGAAAACACACAGATCAGTGTTAGCCGTCGGCTCCCGCTCTCTTCTCGTACTACGACGAAATGTCTCAAAGTTTCAAGTTGAAAAGGAACAGAACGAGAAATTTTTTGTGGTAGCTCTTGGGAAATGAGATTGAAAGGTGGGAGAAAGAAAAACCCGTAAACATCCGACACGATGATCCAACTCGACGCTTTAATCAAGCAAACTCTTAAATTATACTTGAGAGAAAGAGAAAGCCAAAGAGAGAAAGGAGGGGAAGATAGATGATATTCCTGTATTATTTTACCCGAGATCCTGTAATATTACACCCGAGAAGATCATCCTCGAGCAACGTCGCGATGTCAAGGTCTGAATAGAAATCAGTTTGTGAATGGGACGAGATATTGAGATTTGCCAGAGGGTAAACTTCCGCGAGCGAGCGTTAGAATCTCAAATTTTAACGATTATTACACCGAGCGCAGAACTACGCTCACGGAATAGAGCAGGAACGAGCGCGAGAGAGGAAGCAAGAGCGGTGAAATCCTTGGCAATTCCAAGTCGACACCTCGGGAACGTGTATTCCCTATCGCGCCGTGTCTCGGAAACACGGCACGTTAATGGCTGAGCGGCTATCCGCGCGGCTTATCGGCGAAATGCAAATGCGCGCGCGTACGCGGTGCATTTAGAAGTCAAATTATCGTAGACGTCGGCGCAAGAAGAGCGAGCAATGCCAGATCGACAGATGGCTTTCGGCCAGTTTTCATCCGATCGGATCTTGACACCGCGCTCGCCGGCGCTGCACCTGGCATGTGTGTGTGTGTGTGTGTGTGTGTGTGTGTGTATGTGTGTGTGTGTGTGTGTGTGTACACACGAAAGCCCGTGCGTGTTTACGGCACGTATAGTTAGCGATAGCGTACAGTCGTCGGTCCGATTCTTATCGACAAACGCGAGTCTAATGAGCGTCAATGAGAGAGCGAAACTGTGACTTTTAATAACTCATCGAAATTGATCTTCGCGCCGGGCGAAGACATATCTCACGGCTCGAGGGGTTATTTATGGTTAAACACGGAGCAACAGTCAATTAGGGGAGAAGAAAGAGGGAGAAACAGAAACGAGATTAGAGATGGAAAATATGAGACGTCGGAACTGTGTGTGCGAAAATAAAACAATCGGCTGGTAATGAGCGAGCGAAGCAGGATAATCCGATGGAACACGACTTACACGAGCGGCCAATAACTGACATCGATCATAGTTATTTCTACTGTAATTTAGACCCGGGATCTGCCGCGGAGACGGCAACGCGCAGCATCATGTAGATAATAGAAGACGTCATAGAACGAAGCCAAGGCAAATGCACGAGAAGCAAGCCCCGGTCTGACGCGACGGACATTGCTGATGCTCCGACTGTCAATTAACGTTGATCCGCAATGACCGTCGATGATTACCGCGCGCGCGCGCGGTACACCTCGCGTATCCCATGCGCGTGATTTAATTACGCCAGGTGTTCTCCCGCCGGAGCAAAAGGAGAGCCACGACGGACTAATCGAATTCCCACAAACTGTCCGATGACTCCACACATCCCGAGACCGGTATCGGTGCGAGAGGTGATACCCGGCGATCGGATCCGAAAATAATAAGAGGCAATAAAAGAGAAGAGCACAGAGCGAAGGAGCGCGAGTTCCCGAGTCCGATATTTCGTCCGGACAGAAAGGCCAGGCAGACAGGTAGGTAGGTAAGTAGGTAGGTAGGTAGGTAGGTAGGTAGGTAGGTAGGTAGGTAGGTAGGTAGGTAGGTAGGTAGGTAGGTAGGTAGGTAGGTAGGTAGGTAAGGTAGGTAGGTAGGTAGGTAGGTAGGTAAGTAGGTAGGCAGGTAGGCAGGCAGGCAGGCAGGCAGGCAGGCAGGCAGGCAGGCAGGGCAGGCAGGCAGGCAGGCAGGCAGGCAGGCAGGCAGGCAGGCAGGCAGGCAGGCAGGCAGGCAGGCAGGCAGGCAGGCAGGCAGGCAGGCAGGCAGGCAGGCAGGCAGGCAAGCAGGCAGGCAGGCAGGCAAGCAAGCAAGCAAGCAGGTAGGCAGGCAGGCAGGCAGGCAAGCAGGCAGGCAGGCAGGCAAGCAGATAGACAGAGCGCGATGGCAAAGTGACGACGCGACCGTGGTACGTACTGTTCTTCTTCTTCTGGCCGATCGAAGTCTTGGGCGGCGTGGGGGACGGCGATCCATTGTGAATCGGCGGCTGCGGCTGATGCGGATGCGCGGGGTAGACGGCCGGCGGGGGTACGTGAGGCAGGGTCGGCGCCACCGTGGCCGGCTGATGATGATCGTGATGATGATGAATGCTGCCCCCCGGGTAGAATCGATCTCCGCCCTTGTAGACGCTCGGCGGCGGCGGGGGCGGCAGTCCGGCGGCTCCGCCGCCCAAAATCGCGGTGCTCGTCGAGCTGCTGCTGGGCACGGTGCTGCTGGTCACGGCTACGGCTGGAAAACAGCAACGGCACTCGGTGATTACGCGGTCCTCGCTTCTCCCGTCCGCCGATCGCGGAGCGACGCGCAGGTGTCGAAGAATAATCGACGGCGGTTTCTGCGCCGGTTTCGGCGCGACCGGCCGTTACGGGAACGGCCGCTGTTCTCGGAACGTCTGCGGAGTCGACCGCGGGCCTTATTATAGAGCGGAAGGAAAATTCGTACCGTTACGCGTTGAAACGCGCCGGCTACTTGCTAAACATGACGTTTTCGATAACCCGCTGTCGGATCGTGGAATCGAAGAGGTACCATGAGAGTACAATCGTTCCCCTTCGGTTCCTTCGTAGGAGCGTTCCATGAAAGGATCGGAATTAGCGGGTGTCTTTAAATCGCACGTACGACAGTTTGGGATCTGTTTGGCGCCGCGACGGAGATTCTCACTCTCGCTCGAACATCTACATGTAGCGGGGCGTTCGCGTGAGAGAAGTACATCTCGCCAAGATATACTCCGAAACATTCGATTTCCCATCGATCATCCCCGGCGTCGTGACGCGCGGCCGGACCCGTTGTGTACCTGCTAACCCCTTGGAAATAAAACTCGCGGCCGAGGAACGCGCCTCCGGGCGATATAATTGCGTGGAAGTAGCCGCGCGGGCGCGAACTCCCGGACGTCTACCGTAGACACGAGGTCGGCCTCTCGCCTCGGCCGTGGAACCTCCGATGTCCGAGATGCCGGGGAGAGAGAGAGAGAGAGTTCAGAGTTCCCCAGCCGGCGAAATAGCTGGTCATTATGGCGCATGAATCGTCTTCGCCGGGGCGGAGGTGGTAGGAACGAAAGGGAGCGAGGCCCCGGGAAGGGAAAGGGCGAAGGAACGGGAGGAGGACGCTGCATGGAGGATGCCACGGAACGAATTGAGGAGAGAACAGCGGGGTGAAATGAAACGGTAGAATTTATTGTGCCCCGGGACACAGCGTCGGTCACCCCGACCGCAACAAATGACGCACGGTAAGGATCATAATCGATAGGGATTATTTAAGAGAGGCGGCAGGGACAGTGAATACGCTCGGGGAAGGCTGGCGGGAGATGAAGAGCCGGGTAGGCCACGAGGAGGAGGAGGAGGAGGAGGAGGAGAAGAAGAAGAAGACGAAGACGACGCAGACGACGACGACGAGAGGAAGAAATGAGAGCGCGCGAAGGATGGCGAACGAAACGAACACGCCGTCCGTTATGGTAGCCGTTCCTCGCGTAGCTGATTACGGGATAATGAATTTATGGACCATTTCTGTTTCGTCCACGCGGCTCCTTCCCGCCCGTTTTCGCTCGTCTTTTTATCCTCCTCTCCTTTCCGGGGCGCGCGTCTTCGACGGAGGTCGAGAGCGGAACGAGAAAGCGCGAAGAGTCAAAGAACGTGATTTACACGTGGAATGAAAAGGCGGTGTCCATCGTACAAACGACGCCTGTAATTTCAGATTATGATAATTGAGAAATTAGAATATAACCGCTGCTCGAGCTCCGCTTCTTCTTCTTCTTCTTCTTCCTCCTCCTTCTCCTCCTCCTCATGGGAAGAGCATGCATTTCGGGTGGCGGCGTAGTACGCGAGTGCGCGCAAATGACGGAGGGAGCGAGCGAGCCCGCGGAGCGAATCGGCACGCGAGCCGATTGCTCGCCGGGACGAGGATGAGGAACTTTCCGCTTCCGAGGGTAATAAAGGACAATGGAGGCGCAGCCTTGGGCGAGCGCGGAGGGCTGCGTTTCGCGTCAGTATTTTCCAGGTACGGAAAGAACCCCCATCCCTCAGCCTGCGATGCGCGCGATTGAAATGCCGAAGAAGCGGTCATCACTCATCCCGCGTCCGCATCAATCTTCGTAGATCCGCCGGAAGCCGTCGTAGTCGCTACGACGACAACATTCAAAGCGATTACTTACAGTTGTTACGCGACGTCGCCGACGAGGACGAGGTCTCGGCATCGGCGCAGCAGACCTTGAAGACGACCTTCATGTTGTGGCTGGTGCACCGGCCGCCGATGCGCCTGTGGAGATCGTCCTTGGACGAGGTGCTGATGAAGTAGTAATCGTGGCCCGGGAGGAACTCGAGACCACCGGGTTGCGGCGTGAACGGCCTGAAGGTGATGGTGAAGTACATCGTTCTGCGCGGCTTGTCGCAGACCGCTATTACCCGCGGACTGGGGTTCGTTATCCGGCATGTCTCGTACTCCTCCTTGGACACCTGCAAAACGCCCAAGAGGAATCCTGCAGTGGACGCTTGGCGACGACGGTATAATCGATCGGCGATGCGCGACGAAGCCTTGCGGCCGCAACGTCCTAGCGACATTAATCGCTGATTGATCGCTGTGAGAAGGATGGTCCGTGTCCCGCGTCCCCCCTCCCCCCGCGCGAGAGACGATTCTCGTCCTCGTGCGGAGAAGAGGGCTTCATTGTCGGGGCTAATCGCCGCGCGGGAAGAAACGACGGAGACAATGGCACGACGGATGACGGAGGGTGGAGGGACAATCGAGTGGACCGAAGCGATTAGGTCACCGTCGACGCGCTGGACGCAGGAACGGTCTTGGAGAGGTTTTGCCAAGGAGTGGGCGGACGCCGCTGGAATGTTTGATAGTTACACCCGTGAAAGCCGAGAATTTCCCGCAGTTGCTTCTCGAGCGGAAGTTTGTACGGCCGAGTAAGCGCCGCCGTCGGACTTGTTCGCGCTGCGTCAGCGTCGGTATCGCTCGAGTCCCCACTTTGGTGGTGGCCGGGTAGTTTTGCAGATTGGGAGTAATTGTTCGGCGAAAATCCGTGCGGCGAATAGAGATCGGAATTTTTGAGCGATTGAGAAGCTGAGGGCGACCGAGCACGGCGCGGCGCAAGCAACGGCGAAATCGGCCCGACGACTTCCCTCTTCACAAACGAATCCAGACTTGAGAGAGACATCGTGAGAGAGACTCGTGGCCAACCGGCACTGGTACAGCCGATATTTCTTTCGGTACTTATCGGTAAATCTACATCTCGAGTAGCACGGTACGCTTGTCGAAGAGCGGATGTCGTTTTGGCGGTATAATAGAAGCGGGTTAAGCAGCCAGTTTCAAGCAGCGACAGCTGTCTAAACACCAGCGGACACTGATCGACTGATTTTTTTTGACGTTTCACGCGGTTGCTGTGTCGCCGCAGACGTCACGCTACGTATTTGTAATCTACGTGGATACACCGAAATGGACGGAAGTCTATGTGATTAACTCTCGTCGCAGCCAACTGACTGAGAAAGCGGTCGCGCACTGTAGGTGTACAACAAGGTTTGTAAGCGTTGAAAATAAATATCGCGAAACGCTGGACTTACGTTGTAGATGATGTACTTCTCAGTGTCGTCATCATACGTGTCCGACTGGTACACAGGACATATTATGTTGACCTGATCGTACTCGAACGCTGCGTTGTGCTTGTTCACGTCGATTATGTGATCTGTGTTGTCTATTCGAAATCTGTAACAGAGAAATCAACTCGTAAGCGACTTGATCGCGAAGATACGATCTTTGCTCATCACTCTGAGTCTCTCATCAGACACCGCGGCACTACTGATCATTCACGCTCCACTCGTTTCACAAATTTATACATTTTATCAATCTTGTGTATAGGCATATCGCTTCAGCATCGCACGCTGTTTTCTGCAGCAATTTTACACTCGGATATCAGCAAAATGCATCGTTCTTACTGAATAGACCAAAGAGAAATATTTGTGTAAAGGAAAGATCATCACTGCGGATGCTTTTTCCGATCTCCGACGTGGCGCGGAGAGCGGACTTTTTCAAGTCCCCGGAGCCTACGGCTTTTCGAGGAAGATCATATTTCCAGTAGACTATGGCGATGCAGCGGCATACCGCCGTTTCCGCGCAGCCAGCTCCAAGACTATCCGTGAAACATTCGCGAGATGCCGACGCCTCCGGTGGACTCAGCGCCGGTGCGCAGAGGAACGGAGGGAACCAGCGCGTCCCTACGGCATGTCGGTAGCCAGGTCAGGAAAGGGAGAAAAAGAAAAGACGTGGACTCGCCCTCGTAAGCACCCAACGTCAGATAGGCAGGCGCCCATGGTGTCGAAGCATCGCGCAAGTGTATGTACCGGTCGGCCCTCATACAGGGTGTTCTAAAATTTCCCTCTAATCGGGGTCTCTTTGTCGAGAAATGTAAAAACATCAGAGGGTCTCGATGATTCTTTTTCCCTTCCCATTTTTCTTCCGACATTGGACACCTACGCGCGGCGGACCTTCACATCGACGTCACGCTGACGTCACGTAGTGAAGCTGACGGAAAAGCCGACCTGGAAAACGTATCTCGTTTATCGGGAAACGAATCGAGTCGTCGGGGAGCGAACCAAAAACCGCGAAAGCTCCGATCGCTCGTCACTCGTCGCGGAGCTTCCGCGACGCTTCCAACGCGGATACGACGATCGTCTCCTCCTTCTTTCAGTCGTTCGTCTATCTCGGCACGGACACCCCGTACATTTACGCGTGCGGGTATGCACTAGCTAGCGGCTAGTACACGCGTGCACACACGCGCGCCGTCGCATTATGTAGCGCGCGGCGGCGGGTTTGCCGGGATATACTCGGCGAGGATGGAGGAACTAAAGGTCGGCGGATGAAGAGAGGAAGAATGGAGAGAAGGTGTAGAGAGAGAAGAAGAGGTGGCGGGACGGTTCCTATATAACCGGTTCTTACCGCGAGCGTTCTCGCACACGCTAATACGCGGCCCGCAAGTCGAGTAAGTCGCGTAAGCAAGTACGGCGAGGCCTTCTTGTATTTCGCGTCGAGCCATTTCGAAAATCGAGAATCGTCGAGAGCGGAGATAAGCCCCCGCTGTGACGTCGTTCGACGTCGGAACGTGGAGATGAATCGCGAGGTAATTTTTCACCTCGGTGAGAACAACTTTCGTGGTGTTTAGCCGAAAACGTTTGTTTCCGCTCTCGCAGTAGACTCGCGCGCATTCGTCTACTCCCGATCGACAGCGACGTCGCGGGCGACGTTTGCTCGGACAACGTCTCTTCGAGCACAAGTACGCGCCGCGCCAGTGTTCGTACGGACACATATCTCTCGTTCTTTTGTCAGCGACTCGATTTCACCGAGAGCACACCGCTGTATTCGAGAGCGCGCTTCAGGACGCGCCCGCCCGCCCGGCCAGCACAGTAGTGCGCGCGCCGTGCCTTATCCCGGCGTTTTTCACTTACGCCGCGTCTCCCGTCCTCGCTCGCGTTTTACCCGCTTATGTACGTAGATGCGTGCACCGCATCCGACGCATCTGCTTTTTGCGCGTGCATCACGAGCGCAGCCGAGCTTTACGCGCGTATATTTATATATCTTCTCTCGCTCGCTCCCCCTCTCGTGTTCGTATACGTGTTCTTATGTGTTTCAACGTTCATCCGAGCCGCCGCGCTCGCCCGCGTAAAGCGCGCATAGATATTTTTCTTGCTTGTTTCTCATATTCCCGTGCTAGCTTCGCGTGCTGCTTCCGCGATCGGATCATGTAGAGTCAGTCACGGACGATATAAGCCGTAAATCGGGAGCGTTTATCTTTTTCGCGTGCATAAATCTCCTGGAGATTTCATCCAATCGCGAGCGCAATTCGCGCAAAAAAGTTCCGGCGATCTCCGGCACCGGAGTTTACGAGAATCGACTCGAGCGACTCGAGCCGCGCGAATTGTGCGAGCAGTGTCGTCTCTCGTCCGAGATGAAACCAGAGTGGAGAGAGAAAAAAATCATCGAGTATATCCCCGCCAGCGCTGGCGAGCCTTGACTCTGCGTCTCGTAATTAAAAACGCTCGTTTCCCTCATTATAACGATATAAATACGTCAACGCTGATAATGTCGGGATCCCTTCTGTCTTCGGGTACGAAATTATGCGACAGGTATAATGTATAATTACGTGCCGGTATTACGTGGAGGTATTCGCGACGGCGGCGGGCAGATTGATCGCAAATTTGTCAAAGTATACGATCCCCAAATTTGATACGAAGCCTCTCTCTCTCTCTCTCTCTCTCTCTCTCTCTCTCTCTCTCTCTCTCTCTCTCTCTCTCTCTCTCTCTCTCTCTCTCTCCCTCTCTCTCACGAGCACGCGCTGTGCACGCGCGCGTACACAAGTCACGCCTGTCACGAGAAGAGACACGCACGACGCTGCGCGTCGGGAAACGCGGACGCGTCGAATGTACGCGTCCCGACGTTTCGGAGCGTTAACGGACAATCTCGTAAGTGGGCGTGTAAGGGCCCGAAAATTGGAAGGTAGGCCGGGCCACGGGCAAATTAACGTTTGGCGATAATATCCGCTCTCTCTCCTCGCCGCCCTTTTTCTCCGGGTACCCCCCCCCCTCCCATCGGTCCGGAATCCGGTACCCTAAGCGCGCCGCAACAACGACCGAAAACGCGCACGCACGAGGGACACGCTCGCTCGCATGTGCGCGTGCACGTGCGTGTGTGCGTGCGCGTGGGCGTATAGGATGTTTCGTTCGCGGCATGGCCATTCACGAATTTATTAGAGACCGTATATGTACGTGGCAGCCTGAATTACTCGTGATAAAAACGCCGCGTTCTCCTTTCGCCCTGAGTCCGATTGCTCGGACTCGCAGAGACGAGGCAAGCTTCTCGGGGACTGTCCTCGTCCTCGTCCTCGTCGTCGTCGTCGTCGTCGTCGTCGTCGTCGTCGTCGTCGACGGATAATGTACGCGGAGGAGGCGATACGCGAGAGCAGCTTTATCGCCGTTTCCGCCGAAACACGTAGTCAAACGTGTTTAACTTTTTTCCACCGCCCCGGCCGTTCCTCGCCGTGGCGGGGATTTTTTATTCGCCCGATTATTGCCACCGTCGGGTCAGGGAGAGCGGAGAGCGGAGGAGAGGCTCCTCGCGTCTTCCTCTTAATCGCGAAAGTTCGGCCGTAAGCCAGCTTTTTCCCGTCGTTTCGACCCTTCCCGTTGTTGACGTTGCCCCGTTCCTTTCCCTTCCTTTTTTCTCCGCTCTTCCTTTCCCTGGCGAGTACCAGCACGATACCGTGAGCTATAAAGTAAGATCGCCTTTTGCTCCTCGAATCGCCCTTCTTCGCCCTCTCTTTCCATTCGCTCCGAGACCGGGGCACAAAGAACGTCTCTCGTGTACGTGCACGCCGACCGGACGTGTTATTGGTAGGTAGCCCCGATGTGTGATTTAAGGGTCTCCCCCCGGGGAACGGTGTCATTTGCATATACCTACGTATTCGTAGGATCCCTCGAGTACCCTCGTATTAATGTGATAGCTCGCCTCGGTTCTTAACAGTTCTTTTCTGGCCTTAGGTAAACACTCGACATGAATATGTATGCTACCTCCGCTAGGTGACCCGTCCGAGATTCGAAAGTACTACGCGCAGACATCGAGCCTTCGTAGTCGTGCCTTCCTCCTCCTCCTCCTCCTCCTCCTCTTTCCACGCGCTCGTTCTAGTAGATTGCATTCACGATTATTTCTCAATGCTCGTATTTTCTTTTTTCCTTCTCTTTGCTTTTTCCAGTGTTGCGACAGAAAGAGTGTATATAAAGGTGCGTGGATGCGACAACCGTCGTACTTGATGGACGATGGCAATTCATCGCGCAGGCACTCAAAACGCCGTTTTAACTCGGCATCGATCGTGAAAAGTGCGATCAATAGCATGGTTCGTGCGCGCGCGAGCGGCAATCGTCAAAGTGATTTCCGCGACGCGTACGAGCGCAAAAGTGATTTGGCCGCCGACATACACACACACACACACACACTCCACCTCCGACTGTCTTCATTAATTCCCACCATCGTCTAGCCGACGCCAATCAACTAGCCGGGGCAAACCCGGCAAAAGGGTCTTCCTAATTGGAATCGCGAAAAAGTGGGCGTGTTCCGATTCGGAGTTTACCAGCGTTTTCGGATCGGCCGTGGTGGTGTGTCGCTTCTGTCAGCCATTCGGCGACGGCAATTTTCTGTCCCACTGGTCGCGACATCGATAACTTTGTGTCTCCCGGATGCCTCTACTTTGTTTCACGAGACGCGCAGCCGCGTGCCCTACAATTCTCAATAGCGTCCTCAGCTATTACTTGTCCGATTTGCTCCGAAGAATACCACCATTTGCAGTATTTCAGCAAATTCCGGTCGTTCCTCCTCCGAGGTGCGAGGACACCTCGGTTTCTAACGTTTTTCCGTCTCACTCCCCGACGTCCTCGACATTCCTAGCTCCAGGAAGAAAGAATTAAATGTAGCACGCAAGGACACGGTCACACTGCTCGACCGTGAAGAGCAACATCGCGGACTGCATCGGAAAGGGTTAATGCAATCGTCACGATTGCGGCCGATCCACGTCGACAATGTTGAGACGAAGGCGCGAACAAAAGCGAGGGTGCGAGTTAACCCGAGCCGAAAGCAGGCAACGGGGCGATACGTTCGGCCACAAAGAGAACCTCTCGTTCCCGATCCTTGACCCTCGCGTGTCGTCAAATTGAAAGAGGATT